TTACATCCAGGGTATTGTTTTCAAGCGTCTCTGAAAAGCATTGGACCCACCAAGCTCCAAAGCAGAGCAAAGCCATTGAAGGAAAGGAGAGGCAACAGGCCCAGAAGCCCTGGTTTGCAAGAGAAAGCCTGCTCAAAAGAGTTCTGTGTTTGCTGAACACCAGTAGACATTGTGCATAGCATTGGAATAATCCACACCAGCCACACACGAAGGCTCAGCAAAAGGCAAATTCCTCTCTAAAGGCTTGTCATCTTTTGCAAGACACCGTCATTACATGCTGCTGCTCCCAGTGACACCACTGGGTGACCTTGGAGATGAAAGGAAATTGCCTCCTAGTCCCAGAATAACAGATCTCCCATTCTGCAGGCCTTCCCCTCTGCCGACCTGCTGTACTAGTGCGTGCTCCTCAGGGGGCAGACTTAAGGAAAACCTGACTGGTATTTACCTTCTCTACTGGCTTCCTCTTTCTTTGAGACAGAAGCACAAGGCGTTATTTCTGAAACCCTGGATCTCCTGAGTGCCAAGAGAATAGACCAACGACAGGAAGCATTTGTACATTCTAAGCTCAACTCAGCTGCAATTCCCTGAGCTGCCTTTTTGAGAAATTGCTGTATTTCAACAGGAGTTTGAAGGAGGAAGCACAAAATATTAAAAGGGCATTTTCTGTATCTGGTAATGGAGGATGTCAATGGCAGCCTTCTTTTATGTGATGCTATCACTTACCCTGCAGTGGCCTCCCTATAAACAGGCTCCCTGGCAAATAATCTAGGTCTAAAGGCAGCACGAAAAGTTTACAGGCGTGAGTCAAACCTGACCCAGGACTGGTTATATCCAACCAGGGAGACGATTTTACAGCTTTAAAAGTGATTCTCAGATTGTGTAACTTCAAAAGGTTAAAAAATAACCTCAAACTCAACAACATAGGCAGAAGGGCTCAAATTCTCTACCTCCTATTAAGGATCAGAAAAAAAATAACCTTCATTTTGGCTTTGCAAGATGAAAGAAAAACCAGAACCTGAAGGATGGGTAAAAGAAGGTGAAGATACTGGAAAGCATCACAGGCAAAAAACAAAGAAACAAACAAAATGCTCCCCAGTCCCAGAGGCATAAAGGACCCCACTTAGTATGGTGGTATGGTGGGCCACACAGTAGACCAGAGGAAAGAGAGGAGGTAATAACTAGGGCTGGTTAACTAGAATCCAATGCTTCCCCCAAGCATCACAGAAGGACACAGAATTCCCCACACGCTAGAATTCAACTTCCATGAATATGGAAATTATTACTATTTTGTCTCTCTTGCTCACTGATAGATTTCAAACCTCAAGAATAGCTCCAGGCACATAGTAGGCACTGAATAAATATTTATTGAATGAGTGAATAAACAAAGTTGTCACTCAGTACTTCAGTGTACCACCTAAAGGAAAAATAAGAGTAGCTGTTCACTATATAATGGTTAATATTGCTGTAATTAGTGTCCATTGCTGGGAGTTAAACATAAAACTCAGTAAGCATTGGTAGTTAGTTGGGTATCGCAATTTGAAGGGTTTAAAATTTTTTTTAAAAAAATTAGGATACAATTACATACAATAACATAAACATATCTTGTGTGTTTGATGCATGTTGACAAATGTTCAAGATAGGGAACATTGCCATAAATCTAGAAAGACTCCTGTGCCCCTTTCCTGTTAATGACCCTCCTCCACAAAAGCAGCCACTGTTCTGATATCTAATCCCACTGACTAGTTTTGCCTGTTCTTGAACTGCAAAGAAGTGGAGTCATACTGTATACTCTTCCGTGTCTGGCTTCATTTGTTCAACCTGTTTTTGCAATCCATCCACATTGCTGTGAGAATTACTAGTTCATTCCTTAGCAAGAAGCAGCATTCCATTTTATGAATATACCGTGATCTATTTATCCATTTCCTTGCTGATGGACATCTGAGTTCTTTTTGATGTTTTGCTATTACAAATAATGTTGCAATGACTATTCTTAGACAAATATTACTTTTGGGTGTATGTTCACATTTCTTTGCAGCAAATCCCTAGGAATAAAATTGCTGGATCATAAGATTTGTGTACATTTAACTTTATAGGAAAATGCCAAACACTTTCCACAGTGGTTGAAAGTTTACATTCCTACCAGCAATATATAAGATATTTAGTAGCTATATATCCACACCAACGTTGATCATTCTTTTTCATTTTAGCCATTCAGTGTGTGTCAAGTGGTATCTCACTGATGTCAAGGATGTTTTCATACTTTAGTCAATTCCCCACTTTAAAAAAAAAATGTTTTTATTGTTTTTTTAGAGAGAGAGGAAGGAAGAGAGAAATAGAAACATCTATATGAGACAGAAACATCAATTGGCTGCCTCCTGCATGCCCCCTACTGGGGACCAAGCCCACAACCTGGGCATTTGCCCTGACCCGGAATCAAACCTGACCTCTCAGTACATGGGATGATACTCAATCCACTAAGCCACACTGGCTGGGCAATTTCCCACTTTTAATTGTCTTTTTTTCTTTTTCATTGTTGACTTATAGTTGTTCCTTATATATTCTGGATATGGGTTCTTTGTTATATATTTGTATATTTTTTAAATTATTTTTTCCCGGTCTGTGGCTTGCCTTTTTTCATTTTTTAACAGTGTCTATACAAAAATTTTCAATTTTAATGGAGTCCAGTTTATCACTTTCACTATATGCTTAATGCCTTTTGCATTCTGCTTTCTCAAATCATGGAAATATCCTCCCATATTTTCTTCCACAAACTTTATAGTTTTGGCTTTTATATTTAAATCTGAAATTTAGTTTAAGTTATTTTTTGCATATGGTGTGAAGTCAAGGTTAATTTTTTTCTTTATGGCTATCCTATTGACCTACTAATACCATTTATTAAAAATACTTTCCTTGCCCCTACTGTCATAATTATTCATCAAAATAATTTAAATGTATATTTGTGGGTCTATTTTCATTATTTCATCACTATACAACATATTAATTATAGGGTTTTCATAGATAACCTTTATCATATTGAGAAATATACCTTCTTTATCATGGATGGATATGGAATTTTGTCAAATGTTTTTTCTGCATCTATTAAGATGACCATATACGTTTCTGCTTTACCAATCTTGAATTCTTAGGGGAAAAAAACACTTATCCACGAGGTATTATCCTTTTTTTAATATATTGCTAGATTATGATTGCTAATATGTTGAAAAGCTCTGTGTAGAGTGGTGCTATTTCTTTTAGAATCTCCGGTAGAATTCACAGTGAAACCATCTAGGACAGGGGTTTTTCTTGCTGTTTAAACAAAATGTTTTTTTGTTATGAATTAAATTTCTTAACAGATTTAGAGATATTCAGATTTCTATTTTTTGTGTGTGTCAGTTTTGGAAAACTGTGGTTTGTCAAGTAATTTGTTTATTTTATTTACATTGTCAAATTTGTTGGTATATTTTTCATAATTTCAAAAAATAATTTTAATGACTGTAAGGTCTGTAAGATCTGTAATGTCTGTGGTGATATCCCCTCTTGCAGTTTTAGTATTGATTATTAGTATTTGTATGTGTTTTTTCTTCTTTTGTATGATCATTCTTGCTAGGAATTATGAATTTTCTTAATCTTTTCAAAGAACTCACTTCTGTCTTTGTTAGATTTCATCTATATATTGTGCTCTACTTTGTCAATTTTTACTCTTATGCATTATTTCCTTCCTTGTACTTAATTTGGGTTTACTTTACTCTTCTTTTTCTAGCTTCTTTTTTTTTTCCCCTCACTCGAGAACATTTTTTCATTTTTTGTTCAGATAGAGCGGGAGGGAGAGAGAGGAAGAGAGAGAGAGAGAGAAACATCGACATGAAAGGTACAAATCGAGTGGCTGCCACCCACATGACCCAACCAGGGCCAGGGACAAACTGCAACCGAGGTACGTGCCCTTAAAGGGAATCGAACCCAGGTCTCTCTGGACCTCAGGCCAACGCTCAAACCACTAAGCCAAACCGGCCGGGGCCTTTTTCTAGCTTCTTAATGAAGAAGCTTAAGTCATTGACTTTTCATTTTCCTTTTTTTAATGATAAGCATTAAAAGCTATGAATTTCCCTCTTGGCACATCATCATCTTTATTCTTCCAACTTTATATGCTGTGTTTTCACTGTCATTCCATTCAAAATACCTTATAATGTCTTTCTGAATTCTTCTTTGACCCACGGGTTATTCAGAAATGTGTTACCTAATTTCCAAACATCTATTGGTTTTCTAGATATATCTTTGCTATTACTTTTTACAAAATGCGGTTGTAGTCCATTTGAAAGTTCAATTATGGGGGAGGGAGAGTGAGGCTGGTATAGATACCATCATTGTGTGCACGGCATCAGCTGTAAATCCCTGTGAAGTCTCCCCTCTATGACTCAAGACATAGCTGTACGGCACACGAGATGAATTTCCCTGCACAGTTATTTTTTATAGTCAATATATATGGACAAGAATATATGCTTTACAAACAATATAACCTTCCTCTCCAACCTATGCTGTATAGATATGATAGACTTAAATTTTGAAAGTTAGCTGATTTAAAGTAAGACTAAGTAAATGAAAATACAGGGGTTCACCCATCTGGTCAAATGTGTAAACATGGCACACATTTATGAGCTTTAGGCAAACTGATGTGATCACTGTTGTGTATGTGATATCTGCTACTGCAATGATGCAAGCAAAGCTCCACCATCTTGAAATTATCCTAAGTCCTTCAAAGACCCTAACTCCCAAGATTCGAGACCGCAGCATAGAGAGCAGCACGCAATTAGCAGTGTACCTGGGGAACGCATTCCAACTGCACCAACGACAGTTCTCTACCTCGTTCCAAGAAAGGTCTGCCCCTGGCATGGGATGGGATCTGGAGCAGCTCGATGGGAAATGATTTGGGAAAAGAAGCAATTCGACTCTTTTGCCGTCCAGGCTTCCATTCCTCCCAGGCGTTCAGCACACAGGACACTCACCTTTTCCCACTCTCGGTCCTTGTTCAGCACGATCACCACCAGCCTGGGGTGCACCTGATAGCCTTCCTCAGTGAAGGACAAGTCTTTGCCGTCCCATGTCACATTGACCATAAATCTAGGAAGAGGAAGAGAGAAAGACAAAGTTTTTAAGGAAGAATCAAAGAGGTGTCAAATAAATGAATAGATGCCACCATCAGGGTAACACTGAAAGAATGCACACGCCCAGCAGGTGTGGCTCAGTGAATTGAGCATCATCCCATAGACTGAGAGGTCCTGGTTCAATTCCTAGTCAGGGCACATGCCCAGGTTTCAAGCTCGATCCCCAGTATGGGGAGAGCAGGAGGCAGCCAATGGATGTATCTCTTTCACATCGATGTTTTTCTCTCTCTCTCCCTTCCTTTCTCTTAAAAAAAAATCAATAAAAACACACACACACACACACACATATATATATATATATATATATATATTTTAAAGTGCACACTTACAATGCCATCACCCACCTCAAGCAGCCTCTGGGTGTGGAAGTGTTAGTGCACATGCCGGCACTGCTAACTGACCAGGCGCTTTTTTTCCATGAGCCTGTACTCATTCTCAGAATCCCCAATCCTGTGCAAGCTTCAGCAACTGACTGTAATTAGCATGTGGGATGGAGCCTTTCTGTTCTGCCAGACCACAGACCCTTGTTCAGATGATCTTCTCACAGGAGGATCTGAAAGCATGTTCTATTATTTTTTAACAAGCTTCCCTAAAGGAAACTCATAAACTCCTAAACCACTTGATACACAACTTCAAAGAAGTAATCTCCCATTCATTACTCACTCAACTAATATTTATTAAACATTTGCTACATGCCAGGACTCAGCTAGTTGGTTGGGGATATATAAGGAAACAGACATGATCCCTCTCCTCATGAAGCTTATAGTCTAAGGGAAAGTACAGGCATTCATTGGTTAATTATAGATCTACGACAAGTGCTACAATAGCGAGGTGGGTGTGCTGGGTGAAAGTAGAAAAAGGGTCATCAGGCAAGACTTCTGTAAGGAAGTGTGGCTTGTCTTGAAGGATGAGATGGGTAAGAAAGGGTATAAGCATGTTCCAGGCAAAGGGGACAGCATGTGCAATAGCCCTGTGGAAGTACACACAAGGGACTGACTGTAAGCCTGTGAGGATGAAGCAGAGAGAGAGACAGGGGAGTGTAGGATGTGGTATGACTGAGATGGTGAATAGGAGAAGACAATGCAAAGCTTTTCAGGAGTTCCATCTTGTGTGTATTTTTTCCCCCCAGCATCAATGATTTTGATTATATTTGATATTTCTTTGATACACTAAAGTCAAGAGCATTGATTAATCACTCATTAATCAAAATATAATAAAATCCAGCCAGTGGGGCTCAGTGGATTTAGTGTCATCCCATGGACTGAGAGGTCTTGGTTCAATTCCCGGTCAGGACACATGCCTGGGTTTTGGGTTCAATCTTCGATGGGAGGCATGCAGGAGGCAACCAATTGATGTTTCTCTCTCACTTAGATGTTTCTATCTCTCTCTCCCTTCTTCTCTCTATAAAAAAAAAAAAAATCAATAAAAACATATTTTTTAAAAAGTAATAAAAAAAACATTTTTGGAAAGATTTCTATTAACAATAGCAGAAGAAAAAGATGTTGTGAGGTAACTGAAAATGATGTTTTAAAATATTATCTTTTAAAGGAGTATGATATTAATAAAGAGATAGTCAAAGAGAGAAAATAAGAGAATGCTGAGCTCAGATACATCTCAGGTGGTTGAGGAGACCAGGTTTAAGAAAGATATGGTATTACAAATCACTGAGAAAGGATGGCTTTTTATTAAATGCTAAGCTTTTCAGGCCATGATAAGGAGCACTGGGAAGAACTACGGCAGCCCTGGGATGAACTATGACAGAACTGAAATAAACTACAACAGCACTGGAATAAACTAGGAAGCACTGGAATGAACTATGACAGCACTGGGATAAACTAAGAAGCACTGGAATGAACTATGACAGCACTGGAATGAACTATGACAGAACTGAAATAAACTACAACAGCACTGGAATAAACTAGGAAGCACTGGAATGAACTATGACAGCACTGGAATGAACTACAACAGCACTGGAATAAACTAGGAAGCACTGAAATGAACTATGACAGCACTGGAATGAACTACAACAGCACTGGAATAAACTAGGAAGCACTGGAATGAACTATGACAGCACTGAAATGAACTACGACAGCACTGGGATGAACTATGACAGCACTGGAATGAACTACGACAGCACTGGAATGAACTACGACAGCACTGGAGTGAACTACGACAGCACTGGAATGAACTACGACAGCACTGGAATGAACTACGACAGCACTGGAATGAACTACGACAGCACTGGAATTCCACTTGTGCACTGATGAACAGTAAGTGTGAGAACACAGAAGAAGGGCCCCTAACTCAACTTGAGGGATTTACAGAGGGATTCCTGGGGAATCCTGGAGTGAAGTGATTGAGGAGAGGCAGGAGAAAATTTATGAGCAGGGGAATACTCTTAAGTAAAGAAGAATCAGCAAAGGGGGTGTCACACGCTAGAAGAAGTAGGAATTAGCTAAGTAAGGCTGGTGGCCAATGGGATTTGTCTGGAGAGAATTCCCAAAGCCAGATCATAGGAACCTTGAATGATACCCTAAAGCAGCAGCTCTCAACCTGTGGGTCGCAACCCCATTGGGGGTCAAACAACCCTTTCACAGGGATCGCCTAAGACCATCGGAAAACACATATTTCCGATGGCAATTCATTAACAGTAGCAAAATTACAGTTAGTAGCAACAAAAATAATTTTATGGTTGGGGGTCACCACAACATGAGGAACTGTATTAAAGTGTGGTGGCATTAGGAAGGTTGAGAACCACTGCAAAGGGTTTGGATTTTACATAGAAGGCTATGGGGATACATGAAAGGGTTTAAGGAGAGGTATTATGCATTTAGACTTGTTGCCAATAGAAGCAGAAGTAAAAGTGCTTCTCTGCATTTGAAGACAACGTCAACATTTTTGCTTATGGTAAAAAACATTCATTATCTAGACAGTTGGAACTGGGTTTTATCGTTGTTGTTTTTATTTTATCCTTTGATGCTTCCTGGCTGGTATCTGATGAACTAAATGGATGTGGTACAGGCAGGCACATTTAAGGAGTGTTCTACTTCACAGTCCCTTATTGAAACCCTTGAGAAAACAATTTGCATGGATTGGGAGTTTAGATGAGGACTGAATTTTGGTCAAGTTCTTCATTATCAGCTGGTTTCAAAGTAACTAATTAGGGTCTAGAGCTGTTTATATATTTCAAGTTGACTGTTTTGCTTTTGTTCCCATGGTTACTTTTAGCTCTATCACAGTATCTGGCACACTGTTGGGCAGAGTGAATATTTGGTGGTAGTGGATTGACAGTTCATCACCAGAAGTGCCATCCATCCATCCATACATCCATCCATCCATCCATTCATCCGTGATTATCCATTCCTTAGTACATCCATCCACCCATCTAATAGACATGTTTGAATATCTACTATATGTCACACTCCATGCCAAGAACCATGCTAGGAAAATCATACAAAAATAAGCAACCATATATCTGTAACAAATAACTGCAATAAAGAACAGTAAGTGTAGCTCTGGCCATTGTGGCTCTATCCACCAAAAGGTGGGTTCACTTCCCAGTCAGGGCACACACTTAGGTTGTAGGATTGATCCCCGGTCAGGGTGCAGCGGGAGGCAACCGATTGATGTTTCTCTCTTACATGTCTCTCTCTCTCTCTCTGAAATCATTTTTTTTTTTTTTAAGAACAGTAAGTGTAAAATTAGAGATATGTGCTAAGTAGGCTGGTGAAGAGCATAAGGAATAGAGGGACAGGCAGGGCTGAAATCAGGAAACAGTGGGAGATGTCTGGGTTGTATCGGGGACAGAGAATAAGGGCTGGCCAGGTGAATGGCCGGGGAAAGAAAGGAGATGCTCTGCATGGAGGGAACGGCAAAGTCAAAGGCCTGGAACCACAACACGGTAGAACTCTGTGGAATTTCAACATAAAGATTCAGATAAGGAATGCATAGCTAGGCCAGGCAACTCATTAAGTTTCTTTTTTATTTTAATTGAAATCAATGAGCTCTCAAGCCAGGTTTTGATTATTCAACACTTTGGGATAAACAGAGTTCAGGTTAGATCCACATAATGCCTTAAATATGGGTGAAACTGAAAAATATAGTCGATAATCAAGAGGTTTGGAAATATTCAATATGTTGTCTGTTTGGAAAAGGTAGACCAGAGAACAAATGTTTTGGGTTTGACTTAGACATGCGGCCCTGGGGAGAATCATTCACAGGGTTATGTTGTATGGACCAAAGACCATGTTTGCCATTTTAATCAAGGAGCTGCCATGTACTGTTGAGTACCAGGTCCCCTTCTGCTTTGCCAGTGAATTTACTTCAATCCCTTCCTTCTTGAATCCCCATCTCTACTCCCCCCACTCATTCCTTTTTCTCCCATTTTGTTCTGCAATTAGATGGACTTAGCAGGGTGATTATTTAGATGCAATCACTCTTCTTCAGACTTTGTGGAAACAATGACATGGAAATCCTCGTGCTCCAGGTTTCCCCGTGCTCCCGGGAGAGTCAATGTGCTGAAGCAGTGAGTTCATATGCTCCGTGTTAATATTGTTTTCTTCCTTTTCTTTCATTTTTACTTTTTTATTAAGAATCTTCAGTCACTTGGGAGGAAAAAAATGAAACTCTAACACACATTTCTGCTGAATGGTAATTTCATTATGAAGTTGGCAGGGAGCAAGTACCTATTCCCTTCAATTCCTCCATCCAATTTCTAGGAAAGACAATCCATATCTCCTTGGGCTTTCTTCCAATTTAAACTTGTTCCAGAGCAAAATTCTTTACCCAGGGAAATATCCTAATACACCCCGTTACTTAGTCCCCATTAACACCCACCGGCACGTGTATTAAACAGTAACATTTTATCACTGTTTTGTTTACCTCTCAAAAATTAATTATAAACATTTAGTGATCAGGTGAAATATGAGCAATTCTGGCTGCTGCCTAGCTCCAAAC